GCACAGTGCCTGCCTAGCAAGTCAAGGTCATGAGTTCGATTTCCAGTACCAGAAAAGAAAAACAAAAACCAAAAATATTATTTTTGTGAGTTTCTGCACATTTTCCTTCAGTTCTTTCAGCATCATTAAGACAGCTGTCTTAGTCTTTGTCTAACAGATCTGCCATGCGACTGTAGGGACTCATTCTAATGTTCTGGTTTGGTTTGTCAGGTGATTGTTGTTGTTGCTGCTGAAAACTAGACACTTAACTTTAAATAATGTGGTGCTCCTAAAAATCAGATTCTCCCTCCTTCCCCAAGGTTTTCTGTTTGTTTATTTGATTGGTTGGTTGGTTGGTTGGCCGGTTGATTGTTTTTTTCAGTCTGAGGTGTAAATTTAACATCTTCTCAGGTCCTTCCTGAACCTGTGTCTTTCTTTAAGCAGGTGTGGTGCCTTCCTAATTTCTCCTGCACATGCAGCTGCTTTTGAATCTCTAGTTTTCAATGTTTGGCTCTCAAAAGAGGCCCAGGGGATGGGGGTGGGGTAGGTAAATAAAAGAAGGAGATTGAGAGAGAAACATCAGCTCTTTAAATTCCCCAGAAATCACTTCAGCTACAGAGGGTGGGGCCTGTAACATGGAAGGGTGGGGAAAACAATGGATGCCCAACCTTGTTGTACCTCTGATCAGAAGCAGCAATCAGTGATCAGAGCATAGACACCCAATAGTAGGAAGACAGGTCGTTTCTGCCCACTCTGACTCCACAGGCTGTATGCAGGTTGCTCCTGGAACACATACACAACTGCCTGCTATAGGGCTGGGTAGGACATAGGTACCTGCTGCTGTGTTACGAGCTGCACTGACTGAAACTAACCACAATTAAAAGCCCAAAGCCTCCCCTGGAAGTTGCAAGGCTTCAACAGACCCCAGAGTTCCAAAATAGTTACATAAACACATGCTGACTGCTATTGTCAAGGTGGACAGACAGATTCCTTCCAGCTCCACTATCTTCCCAGAATCCTCTCCAGATTCACAGGTTCTCATTATTCTCACCATCATCCCTCATCATCTTTGGCCTTCAAAGAAATAGCTAACAGAAAACAATATTAATCCGGCATTAATATATAACTGGATTTGTTCTAAAGTGTATCTTTCTAAAATTGTGATGCCAGTTCTCTGGGCTGCCTCAGTGGCCACCCCAGCCTACAGCCAACAATTTTCCACCTGAACACAAGGAGTACTGTATGTGAGCCCCAAGCAGCACAGGGACGTGTCTGTGGGATGTATTTATGAACACTGAGAAGGATGTCTCCTACAATGAGGCTTTTTAAAACACATTCACAAGCCGGGCATGGTGGTGCACGCCTGTAATCTGAGCACTCAGGAGGCTGAGGCAGGAGGATCTTGTGAGTTTGAGACCAGCCTAGGCTACAAAGTGAGCTCAAGGCCAGCCTGAACTGCTCAGCAAAACCCTGTCTCAAAAAGACAAAACACACACACACACACACACACACACACACACTCACAATCTGAAGAGACTCCTGACCAGGACATGAGGCAGCCTGGCTTCCTGGAAAGAACTAAGAAATGGCACTTGGACTCCATTAAACTTGGACCCCATCTTAGCTAACTAGGCTTTCTGCATCTCATTATACTTAAAAGTAAAATGAAGGTGACTAACCCAATGGTCCCTAAAGTACTCTTAACTGAAGTAATAACAATCTTGCCAGATAAAATATTAGGAAGAGAGTACTTGTGAGAGACATTTTAAGAGTCTACATGACTGGGCCACAGGGGGTCTTGATACTGAGTTAAACATCACTCTGTGAGGAATTTCTGTGTGAGCTGACTGAATATGCAAATTGTCTCCCCAGTGTGCGAAATGCGTGAGCCAATTCCTTACAATAGAGAGACAGACAGAGTCAGAGTCAGAGTCAGCGAGAGAGACAGAGACAAAAACCACTCCACCAATAACACACAGTATTCTGTAAGATGAAGGAAAGGGATGTGGAAATCCTGATGCCATTTTTCTTGTGTCAGCCTTAGTGCATCACTTTTCATTTCAGAGTGGAACACTGGATATAATCAGGGATGTCTGAGACAAGGTGGTTTAAGGAAATAAAAGCTGATGGCCCACTGAGACTGGAGACCTAACCTACCAGTCTGAAAGTAAGACTATGTTGTGCTGTGATTCATACAGTCTTTACTCCCCCGTGACTTAACAGGAAGGACAAGAAGTTGGCTACAGTGGCTACTGCTAACACCATCATCTCCCCTTCATCGTCACCATTACCATCAGTAAGTGACCAAAATGACCACTCTGCCCTCAGCCTCCCCAGTCCATGCACAACCCAAGTTTCAGGTTAGGTAAGAAACTCGCCTTCTGAAGCACAGATGTTTGTGAGACAGGTTAAATTTCACTGTCATTCACACTTGGTGTTAAGTATATCAATGAAATAAACAGCTACCAGAAATCACTAAATGAAAAAAGGTATTTTACTTAGAAGGAAAAGAAAGAAGGCAGGTGTGGTAGTGCAGGCCTGCAATTCCAACTACTCAGAAGGAAGGCTGAGGTACGAGAATCTTAAGTTCAAAATCAGCCTAGGTAACCTGGCAAAACTCTGTCTCAAAATAAAAAGGACTGGGGCTGTGACTCGGTACAGAGCCTCTGGGTTCAATTCTCAGTACGAACAGGACGAGAGGAGAGAGGAAGAGAAGAGAGGAAAGAAGGAGAAAAGAAAGAAGGAAATGAAAGAGAAATAAATATTTTCCAACATGTGTCAGGCTCCTGCTGCCTGTCCTCTGGACAGGATTGAGACCCAGGTTTCTGGGAACCTTATAAAAACCACTGAAAGCCACCTGGGTCTGTGGTTCTGTGTTTTCTGTCTGAGGGGAAGGAGGGTGGCCAATCTAGAGCATTTCAAAGGCATTTTTGAAGCCAAAATCATCATGGTACAGCTCTTCCCTCCAAACAACTTGCCAGGGAACAGCAAGGTGCCCCGCAGGCAAGGGCGAAGGCACAGCTGCAGGCTCCCAGCTGGGACCACCACGCTGCTGCCAGCCACTCTCATGGGGCCCTGCACGAGCTCGGGAGGTCACCAGAGCACCTCCCGGCCCCTTGCTCCACCCGTACCCATGATCTTAGCTACTACCCTCAGCTTTACTCACTGCATCAAGACCTCAATGCAGCCTGTCTATTCATCAGGGCGCAGATTCTGGATTCCACAGGCATAAGAGACCAGGAATGCTTTCTTGGCCAATAAAAGGCAGGTGACCAGGCTGCCAGTGCTGCCAAGCTGAGGTGGGCCTCTGGTTGCTGGTCAGGACACGGCCAGGGGTACTCAGCCCACCTGCTGAGAAACAGGGCCAGCCCCATCTGCACTGTGGCTACGAGAGGAGGAGTTCACCTCCCTCCACACTGGACCACAGGGGAAATGAGGCACCCTGGGCCGGCAGAGACACGGTACCCCGCAGGGGCTGTGACAGGAAATGACGTGCTTAAACACTGGACTTACCTCTGATCCCAACGAAGACGGTCAGACCAAAACAGATGAAGAAGACCACAAACACGAGGACAAAGTGGCGCTTGGAGAGCGTGTAGAGCCTCATGGGCGCCAGCCTGGGGAGAAGTCAGGGGTGAGGGACGGTCAGGGAGATGCACAGGGTCCACGAAGAACATCTGCACAGCCCCGCAAGCCCTGCCCAGGCCCCCAACTTCCACCCTAAGCCTTCATCTCAAAAGTGGACCTGCTTCGAAGAAACCAGTTGACCTACCCGGACAAAACAGTCTCAAGGACCCTGGTGACTTCTCCAGGAATCAAAGCATTCCTGTGTGTTTGGGGTCAAGGCCCCTCCACCCTGACCTCCACAGGGCAGCCAAACCCAGCCCTCACGGCAGGAGAACATGTACGGTTTCTATGCTCAGCAGGGCACGTTTCCGCACACCACAGAGGAGGCAGCCTCGTACACACTCGCGCACGCACGCGCACGAACACGCGTACCCTCCCACCTCGGAGCACAGCCCCAGTGCAACAGTGGTGGAGCCCCACACACAAGCACATGGCTTCATAGGAGTCATCAGAGGCACAGGAGCTGGGCTCTCAGAGCCCAGAGTCCCTCACAGCGTGACAGCCGCCCTCAGGACCGGTCCCAGTGAAGAACAGCCAGGCTGCCAGAGCCTGCTTTTGATACCCACCAAGCAGTGGCCTGCAGTTCTCGGTGACTTATGCCACCAAGGAAGGCCACCAGAGGGGGAAGCCTAAGAAACCTTCTCGGAAGAAAATGTAGGGGTCGGAGTAGGAATCACCTCTTTTTCAGAACGCCCTACATAAGGGCAGGCAAACAACTCTGTAAAGGGCCAGATGACAAATACCTGTCACTTGTGTACTACAGGCACCTGGCTCTGCCTTCCAAAGTGGCCCAGGCTCCACAGAAACAAGGGATCGTGTCTGCGTTCCTGGTAACTTAACTTACAGAAACAGGTGCAGGTGGGGCTTGGCTGACCAACTTCTACCCCGAATCCAAAGAGGTGGCCCCCAAACCAAGGAACCAAGCCTGGCTGCAGCTTTGCTTTGCTGTCAGAGGGTGGCAGGCAGTTCCACACTTTCCTGGCTGGGACTGAGAGCAGCAGAAAGGGCTTGACTCTTTCAACCAGACAGGCATGGCGTGGGAATGAAGGAAAGGTTGTTGACTCTTTTGTATTTGTGCACACCCTCCCTTCAACACCTCAGACTGGGCTGGCAGGCAGGAAGCCAGCCACCAGGACGGTCTGAGGACAAAGGTGAAGTCTACGAGCCACTGTGGCTCTGACGTGGCCTTGCTGATACCAAAGGGCCAGCGTGACCACTGCCCAGGAAACTTGCAGAGCCGTGTCCCTGGGCTCACTGAATGACAGTGAGCCCATAAGGGCTACAGGGTTTCTCCGGGCCCCTGGGCCAAATGCTGACCCACAAGCGACCCTACTCGGCATGAGAAGAGAAGCTAGTCCTGCAAGTGGCCTGATCCCAACTTGGATTTGGGCACCGAGGGCTACAGGTATTAGGGCTAGCAATGGCCTCCAGGACACAGCCCGATCCTCTTGATTTACGAGGGAGGAAAACGGTGTCTGGAGACAACGAGCTGCCCCAGGTGTCACAGCTGTGGCCTTTGGCAACACCTGCCACGCCCCTGGAGAGGGTTCTGGGAAGCAGGCCCGAGTTCTGTCAGTGTCCTTCTGGAGAAGCCCGTGGAATGTGAGGCTGGAAACCAGCATCTCCTGTCCCCTTCTTGTCACCCAGGTGCCAAGTCTATTACTCAGTTTCTTTGCACACAGTGCTCAACACCCGGAGTGCCCCTTCGAGGGCCATTCTATATCATTTTGGGATAAAAATCGTTGCACAGTGAAATTGTGATTAGGTCTTGTCTGAGGCCTAGTATCTTTCGAACTGGCTATGGCATGTAGAACATAACTCCGTGTGCCCCAGGTCACAGTGGGGGTCTCAATGGTCCGTGATGCTGTAACGCCCCAGGGCAAGATGGCTCCTTGTAATAACACAAAGGTTTCACTAAGCTGCCATCCCTGCCCACCGTCCTCATCAACGTAAGATCCCCATTAGCTTAAGACCACCACCGCCCTGAGTCATCCAATAATCCCCGCCCCACTTTCCTCAATATAAATGTGATCAGTAAATACCGAGGTTCTGGCTGCCTTGTGGCCTTTTGTTACCCCTGAACAACTGGTCACCCCAGATTCCTGTTGCGTTGCTATTTGTCTCTTGCTCTTTCTTTTCACCATGCACTGTAACACCTTACAGGGAGTTGGGGACTCACTGCAGGGGTCCCCAATAGTGCTCCACTCTAAGGGAAGATTTCTATGCAACTTCACAGGGCATTCTGATATTGAAAAACACACAAAGCTACAGTGACTGGGTGGTGGGGAAATGTGAATAGGAGTTTAGCTAAGGGCACGGCACTGATGCTGCCATGATGCCAGTTTTGCTCAATGTGCCAGGTTACATGCGATGCTGGCATCAGGGGAAGCTCAGGAAAGGTCCACAGAAGCACTCTGTGCTCAGGGCCTCTCTCCTGTGAATCTAAAACTGCGGTGAGAAATTACACCGAGCCACTTGTGAGCTTTTCCATTCCACCACCCCCAGGAGACCTGTCCCTGTGCATCGGCACTGTCCAGGGACTGAGCAACAGCCCCCAGAGACCGTAAGCGGAGACCTGGAAGCAGATAAAAGCAGAGTAAGAATCACAAAAGCACATATACTTGGCAGATGGGAAGGAAGGCTGAGGAGCCATGAAGAAAAGGCACTGCAGCACAAGGCAAACGTGGCAGCATACAGACTGCCCAGGCTAGCGGCTACTTGGCCCCTTGGAAGCCTCCATGGAACCCATCCCTTCCCTTTCTTAAAACTTCCACTGACACTCAATTTATCATAAAATTTCTTGGGACAGCAACTCAAAGGAAAAAGGACCCAAAGGCAAACTGATCCCTCATCTTAAGAAACGCAACCCACAGGGCTCGGCTGGCTGGAGAGGATGGGCAACAGGCCCTGCTTCTGCAGTCGTCCTGTCCAGACAAACAGCAAGTCTTTCAAGGAGGCTAGAACCCCCAGCCCGTAGGGCTACTGCACGTCAGGGATGGCATCCAGACAGGACGGCACTGTCTGGACTTCCCCTCCTTGGTGCTGTATCCTCTCAGCTTCCCATCTAAAAGCTCTGAATTAGGTGGTGGTGGGGGTCTATGGCCATACCACCCTGAACATGCCCAATCTCATCAGAGTCAGGTGCGGGGAGCTGGCCAATGCCTGCAATCTGCACACTCCTGGAAGCTGAGGAAAAGATCACAACCTCAATCCCACCCGGGCAACTTAATGAGACAGTGAGACTGTGTCTCAAAATTTTAAAAAAAAGGCAGGGAGAGTCTGGGGATGTAGCTCAGTGTGAAGGCCCTAGGTTCAATCCCTAGTATCACAAGGAAGGAAAGAAGGGACGGAAGAGAGGAGGGAACCAAAAAATAAGTGACCTCTGACTTTTATCACACTGTCATATATATATATATAGTGGTACCAGAATCAATCCCAGGGCCTTGTCATATATAAGGTGAAAACTGTTGCTCACAGTCAAAACAGCAACACTTTGAGACATCAGAGTAAAGACAGTTAGATCAAATAAATGGAAACTCTAGTTTCAGCCTTTTGAGGACTCTCCATACTGATTTCCAAAGTGGCTGCACCAGCCTGCACTCCCACCAACAGGAAAGGTTGCATTTTTTCCCCACAACCTCAGCAGCATTTGTTAGTTATTGATTGATTTCTTGATGATGGCCATTCTTTCTGGAGTAAGACGAAAACCGCCCAAGCTGAGCTTGAACTCATGATCCTCTTATCTCAGCTTCCCAGAGTGCTGGAGTTACGGGCATGCAAAACAACGCCCAGCTCTCTTGTGGTCTTCACAGCCCCTGAAACAGCCGACCTCAGCACAGAAGGCCTGTGGTGGCTCCCTGCTACCAACTCAGTCAATTTAAACTCCTCCTCAGGGCTTTCAAGTGCCCTGTAGGGAAATCCTTCTCTATCGTTCCAACTTTGGTGAGTCACTACCTCCAACAGTCACCACCCGGCCTTCTGAGGGGGCCCCAGGAGCACCCTCATCTTCCAGCAGCAGTCTCCAGACCTTCAACACCATCGCGCTTCCCAACACTGGCCCCTCACATCGCTTTGCTGGTCTGAAACTCTGTCTTCTTCTCACCAAACCATCTAAACCTTCCCTTCCTTCAAGCACACCTTGTGTCCCACCCGCTGCAGGTGCGTTAGCCACCCCCGTTACATCAGGCGTGTCTGCCTCTGTGGCTGAGCACCTGAAGACGAGGCACCACCCTGGCTGCACTGACACCAGGCCTGGCACACGGTGGGCATTCAAAACACAGCCACCAGATTGACCGCCACCGTTATTCCAAAAATGTTCATGTAGTGGCCTCAGGTTGGAGGTGAGATGCCAGGGGAGGCAGGGATTGCCCACTACACACTACACCCCAAGGCTGCATGCCCACCCGCCCAGGGCAGGAAGATGTCTGTAAACCCTGCCAGCACTCGAAGGCTTCTCTTGTTCTTCACTGGACTGACATCAGTTGTGCTTTCCAGGCTCAAGTATCGTTTCCTAGCAGGCAGCCAACACACATACCATGAAGTCCTGGCCTGGCTGCAGCCCCGGCCATGACAGACCTTCCAAATGCAATGAAGCAGATGGTCCCCTTAGACTTTTGGAGGTTCTTCTAAACTGATCTCAGTCTTTTGGGTCTTTTGAAAAATGAGACATATTTCCTAGAGAAACCAAAATGCCTTTACTGGAAAGCCTACCCCCAAATCTGCACCCACAATCCAAGTCGCTGTAAACTGCCGTCCCCTCATTAGGCACATTCATAACCACCTCCCAAGGGACTGCTACCACTCGAGGGGAAGTCTGTGAAGACCCCAATTCACACAGGGACACACTAGCCCCCTGCTGTTCTCTGCCTCTCCTTCCTTCTCTCCCCTTGCTCCCTCATTACCTCATCATCCGGTCTCGACCTGGAGACACAGGTGGGTGGGTACAGCTCCTTCAGAGGCTTCGCACCCCAGCCCTCTCCCCTCACCTCCA